GGAAGGAAGGAAGGAAGGAAGGAAGGAAGGAAGGAAGGAAGGAAGGAGAGATAATGAGAGTGAAGGAGGGTCTCAGGGAAGTCCTGCATTAGCACTTGGCCACCACAGGTGCCCCCAACACGAGTCCTGTGCCATGCCCCATCATGGCCACGCCCATGCCTGGCCACGCCCACCATGCGCCCCCCCCCCCGGCCCACCAAGGTCAAACACAACCCTGATGCTCCCCTCAATGAAATCAAGTTTGACACCCCAGACCACATAATGTCTTATGGAAAAGATGGGTTTGAAGAACTACTGGGGTGGGGGTGGGGGAATGAGACAGAAATAAACCATGGTTTATTATGACACAGATGCCTGCTTTTTTCCTAGGCTCCCATGTGGCCGAGGCATCTCTCTCTCTCTCTTTTTTTTTTAAAAAAAAACAAAAACGCTGTGAACTTGAACACTTTATATAATATTTCATTTTGCTGCGGTCAGAGAGGGAAATCCTCAGATGCCAGCTGGTATATTTATTTATTATTTTTTATTTTTTGGTATCCTGGAGTTACAAAGGAAATGAGTTGGCTTCCTTCCTGCAGGAGGCCACCATTTCATACTGGGATTCTGGCATGACGGCATCTTCCAGGGGGCTCGGTTGAGCTGTATAAGACAGGCTGCCCTTGATCATTGACGTTTTTTTTTTTTTTTTTTAGTCTCCCAACACTCCCAGGGCTGTTCTGCCGAAGTCCGGAAATCTCTTGGTACAAGACTTACAGTTCAGGAGTCATCTTCGAAGAACGGCCGTGACTGGTCGAGTTACACAAGGCAAAATAGGTCCTTTTCCAATGGTCACGAAACAAGCTATAAGCAAACCATGAGCTAATACGTGTGAACCCGAGGGGTTGGGCCGCTGGGGGTTCGCCAGGGGTGTCAGGAAAGCCCCCTAGCTAAGATTCTGTGCAGTTTGGAGAAACCCCCCCAAATCCCACTCCCGGCTGGCCCCGCCCATCCTGGCCCCCCCCCTCCCAGGAGCCCCCACGTGGCCCGTTTTGGATGCAGGTAAGTGCGCCCAGGCTCAGGGAGGGTGAAAAACGGGCCTTCCGGAAGTTCGGGAAGGCCGGAAATGGGCCCGTTTCCAGCTTCCGGAGAGAAAACGGGGAGGCCATTTTCACCCTCCCGGAGGCTCGAGGAAAGCCCCCCCCCCCCCCCCCCCCCCCCGCCGGGGCCCGGCGCCCCCCCCCCCCCCCCCCCCCCGGAGCCCAGGGAGGGCAAAAACGCCCCCTTTCCCCCGCTGTGGTGCAGGAGGCCGACTAGGCCACGCCCACCATGGCCACGCCCACCCAGCCACCAGGGCAGAGAACCAACCCCATGCTAAAAATTTGAAGCCCACCCCTGACCGCAACCCTCATACTTCCTGGGGTTTTTTGTCCTTGAAAAAGTTTTGTTTCTCCTCCAAGAAGCTTCTTCGGGAAAAGCAAAAACAGTCACTCCTAGGAGGGACCTTGGAGTTCGAGGGAAAAGAAGGACTAGGGGTGGACATGATAACGGTAGTCCAGCATTTGAGGAGGTGGCCCCAAAGAAGAGGGGCTCAACTTATTTTCCAAAGCACCAGAAAGCAAGACAAGAAGCAATGGATGGAAACTTAACCAAGGAAAGAAGCAACCTGGCATTAAGGAGCCATTTCCTAACAGTGAGGACAATTAACCTGTGGAACACCTTGCCACCAGAAGTTGTGGGTGCTTCATCACTAGAGGAAAGCCTCCGGAGTCCAGGGAAAAAACAACCTCCCCCGCTGCGGTGCACACCCATGGCCACACGCACCCAGCCACCAGGGCAGAGGACCCCTTGCTAAAATTTTCAAAGCCCACCCCTGCTGAACCCATGTCTTCCATATCATCCATGCCACTTGATTTTGTTCATGTATTCCATTTATCTCAGGGGTCCCCAGTCTACAGGCTGCGGTCTGGTACTGGGCCTTGAACCGTTCAGAACCAAGCCACAGAAGTGGTGGCTGAGCACAGGCATACATGCACGCATCCCCACTTGTGCGAGCGGCGACTGTGTGTGTGTGTGTGCGCACACATGGGCCATTTGCACGAGCAATGAGCACACGTGGCGTGGAAACATCCCGTCTCCCTTGTCGTGTTGCAAAACCGAAAGGTTGGGGAACTCTAAATAATAAAGATAAAGTAAATAATAAACTAAATAAATAAATAAACTAAATAATAAAGATAAACTAAACAATAAAGATAAAGTAAATAATAAAATAAATAAATAAACTAAATAGTAAAACTCTAAATAATAGAGAGAAACTCTAGAATAGTTTATAGTAAAACTCTAAATAATAGAGATAAACTCTAGAATTCATACGCTATTTTTTATTGCTTTAGAAAAGGCTGGTGATTATTATTTGGCATAAATAAAAAGCTGAGACTATAACGTTATTATGTTCCCATAACTTACGTCATTGTTTTGTTTCTTTTTTAAAAAAATTCCTTTCCCTCCTTCCCTCACTTATCTCCTCTATTTCCTTTCTTTTCCCATTTTCCGATTGTCTTTATTTCTATTTTATATTAATAAACACACATACACACAGAGAGAGAGAGAGACAGAAAGACAGGCATACGACCACAGTTGAGCCCAAAATTTTTGTTGTAAAGTGAGACATTTGTGAAGTGACTTATGCCCCACTTTACGACCCTTTTCGCCACCATTGATAAGTGAATCATTGCAGTTGATAACTTAGTCACACGGTTGTTAAGTGAATCGACTTTGCTTGTCAGACGATCGCAAAAGGGGATGACATGACCTTGGGACACAACTACCATCGTAAGTGTGAATCAGTTGCCAAGCGTCTGAATTTTGATCACACAATCACGGGGATGCAGCAAAGGTAGTAATTCTGAAAAAAAGGCCCTAAGTCACTTTTTTCCAGTGCCGTCGTAACTTTGATCAGTCACTAAATGAACTAATGTAAGCCGAGGACTAATTGTAACTTCAAGTAGCTACTGAACGAATGGTTGAGAACTGTCTGTAATTTGGCTTTAAAAGTTTTAAACCCTTTGGTCATTGGAGGGTGAAGAATTTTAGCCAAGTAAGCTTGACCTAATGGATTCCTTCCCATTCTTAATAAATATGACTTAAGTATCAGAGAAAAAAAAAAACCCTGTAAATTTCTTGCCGGTCTTTTTGGATCAAAAGATTTCCTTAATTAAATTACAAATATTTTACTACAACTCACAGTGATGGGTGTCAGGAACTTTTGGAGGCAAAGGGCTTCGGGTTGGCTACCATTCAGGGCTTAAGCAAATCTGACTTAACTATCCAGCTGACCTCCGGGAAAAAATATCTGGGAATAAATCCAAAGACTACTGAAAGCTCTGTTTGTTCAGCTGCGGTGCTTTGCTGCGTGTGTGTTTGTATGTGGGTGGTGGTCAGGGATAAGCGACAATTGAAAATGTGTTGCCGCTAAAATAATTGTCTTAATCGATCCAAAGATGCTGGAATGGGCTTGACAAATAAGCCCCATTTAATTGCTTGTTTGGGAGGAAACTTGTTTCAAAGCATTTATTACAAAAGAGAAGTAGTCGATACAACAAATGGAAGCCTTGGATACGAAAGTATTGGCTGCAACGTTTGATACAAAGCGTTCGATGCAAAACCGAAATATTTGGGGCAAAATTTGGTGCCTCAAAGTCAAGTCCCACTATGGATCTCTCTCATCCTTAAAATTCAGGATTAAGCTCTGCAGATTGAAAGGATGTTACAGGTAATTGTCATGCCCTTGTTGGAGTCTGATTCTGAGGGGGAGATTGAGCAGCTGACAGGGAGTGGGAGTGTGGCTGTGGAAGGGGAAGTCCAATCTCTTCTTGAAAGCCTCCAGGGATGAAGCTCCCACAACTTCCAAAGGCAACTTCTATTCCATGGGTTGATTGTTCTCACTGTCAGAAAATTCTTTCTTATTTCCAGGTTGAATCTGTCCTTGATCAGTTTCCATCCATTGTTCCTTGTCTGGTCTTCGGGTGCTTTAGAAAATAGCTTGACCCCTTCCTCCTCTCTGTGGCAGCCCCTCAAATATTGGTAGACTGCTATCCTGTCTCCCCTGGTCCTTCTCTTCACTAGACTAGCCAGGCCCAATTCCTGCAACCATTCATCATGTGTTTTAGTCTCCAGGCCAATGATAATCTTAGATAGATTCAGATTAACTGAGTTGGAAGGGACCTTGGAGATCTTCTAGTCCAGGGGTCCCCAACCACCGGTCCGTGGACCGCTACCGGTCCGCGGAACAAGTCCTACCGGGCCGCTGGCTTGCTGGGCGCCGCCATCTTTTTTTGATGAAAAAGTGCTTTCGGTGAGCTTTTCCAGGTAGAAAGCTCACCGGAAGCACGTTTTCATCAAAAAAAGATGGCGGCACCCAGCTGATGCCGGTACCGGGCCGCGGCGCCCAGCTGATGCCGGTACCGGGCCGCGGCGTAAAAAAGGTTGGGGATCACTGTTCTAGTCCAACCCCCTGCCTAGGCAGGAAACCCTACACCATTTCTGGCAGATGGCAGTCCAGTCTCTTCTTGAAAGCCTCCAGTGATGAAGCTCCCACAACTTCCAAAGGCAACTTCTGTTCCATGGGTTGATCGTTCTCACTGTCAGAAAATTTCTCCTTGTTTCCAGGTTGTATCTCCTCTTGATCAGTTGTCACTGTAGATGGTGTGTGCACTGCTTGGCAATAGGGGAAGCTGGAAAAAATGTGCAAAGCACACGCCATGTATCCATTTTCCTGGAGTGCCAGCATTTCCCTGACCTCTTGGGCCTTCCCCACCTCCACTCTACAGCTTCGGGTTGCATCCTGCCTCCTTGGAACAGGAAAGCATCTGTGTTGAGCCTCGCAGGTGTCTTTCTATAGGTCACTTCCTCCCTTTCAGGCTGTGTGACAAAAAAAAATCCCACAGCGCTGCAATGTCTTGTGCTTTTCCTCTTCAGCGGCTGTAGGTAGTCTAAATAAACAATCCATTTCATATAGAAAAGATGCCCAGGCACGTCCTTAATGCACGTCCACGCATAAACAGTCGACAGCTCGCATCCCAAATTAGCATTTGGATACTAGTGCTGTTCCCTTTGTTTGAAAGAGGTGCTTCAATATAGAATAGAATAGCAAGAGTTGGAAGGGACCTTGGAGGTCTTCTAGTCCGACCCCCTGTCTAGGCAGGAAACCCTACACCACTTCAGACAAATGGTTATCCAATCTCTTCTTAAAAACTTCTAGTGTTGGAGCATTCACAACTTTTAGAGGCAACTTCTGTTCCACTGGTTAATTGTTCTAACTAACTGTCAGGAAATTTCTCCTTAGTTCTAAGTTGCTTCTCTCCTTGGTTAGTTTCCACCCAATCTGGAAAGTAGGATGAAAGGTTTTAAAACAAGCTGGAATATGTCAGTGTAACTTGTTATCCTTGCTTTGCTCCTTAAAAATTTGAACCATCAATTTTTAATCAATAGGAAACCAATGTGAATTGTTTTCTCTTGGTTTACTCTTGTGATTGTCTCTTTTATGGCTTATAAAACAGAATTGTATGATTCTATGCATATGAATCTGCCCAAATGGATTAAATAATTCTCTTTCTGTATGTAGCTAGCCTCTGTGGTGTACCAAAGTGTGTTGAATTTGTACTTCGTTGTTACTAAACACAAACATGACTCACTCACTGGAATACACCCTCTTGGGCAGGCTAGGATGAAAAACTTAAAAATATTTGTCATTTAATAATGTATTTCCATATGACTCACCCCTAAATGCAATGCCTTCTTTTTTGGTACCTCACTTTCATTTGAGTTCAGTAAAATACACATTCAGTGTACATGAATAAGTTTGTCTCTCTGGATTCCAGCATCATAAAATGGAAAGATGAATTAATAGGATTCAGGTTTAGTGTCTAAATGTTCTGTATTTTTTCTCTCTCTCCAGGCTGTAGAAATTTGGTGTGCAGGAACATGTCCCAGTCAGCTGAAAAAGTAAAGGTGAGTTAGAACTTGGGACGTAGCCCATCAAAACAATTCTTAGCTTTCAGTGTTTTATTTTGGGTTTTAGGGTTTAAAGGCTGTGTTTTGCAATCACTTTGGGGCAGAAAGTAGGGAAAAGAACAGCTGGAATAAATTTTAGAGAATTATTGTTGTTTAAATAAATAACCCACTTGAAGTCATCCAGCTTTATTTGTTCTACTCTGCTTATTTTCTGTTCAGTGGACTGAAGAAAAAATATATAGAAAATTTCTCCATAAATTGCTGAATCCATTGCAGAAAACAGTGGATAACAACTGCAGGTCAAGATGAGATAGGAATTTAGTGTAAAATCGACTGAATATCCTAGTTTTCCCCTCTTCTACAGCACAACACTTTAATCATAATTTTTCAGTGTGAATTTCCAAGCAAAAGGATAGTTAACAAAAGATTTTTCTTGGTTTTCTCCACTGTTATCTGGCAATGAACGAGTAAAAGAACGGTATGCTTTGGATGATGGTTGTTGTGCAGCCAATCCAGTTTTGGGTTGAGTAGAAAGCTTCCTGCAGGGTGAAACTAAATGCTTTTCCAAATTCTCAAGAAGCAATAAGACAGGAAGTAGAACTAACCCCTACTTCCTTGCAATGAGAGTCCACAGAGGCCCTGTATAATTCTTACATTGTCTCCTAAACCATGTTCCTCATCTTTTCCCATTTGCGTATCAGACAGGAAAGGGAAACAGGAATCACATTACTTCTGTTGTAACTTGGTCTGGAGCGTTTCTCAACCTTGGCGCCTTTAAGAGGTGTGGACTTCAACTCCCAAAATCCCCCAGCCAGCATAGCCACGCATGAAGTCCACACCTCTTAAAGTGGCCTTAAAGTGGTTGAGGATCACTGGTCTAAAGCAGAGGTCTTTAAACTTGACAGCTTTAAGACTTGTGGACTTCAACTCCCAGAATTCTTCCTCCAGTCATGTTAGCTCAGGAATTCTGGGAGTTGAAGTCCACAAATCTTAAAGCTGTCAAGTTTAACGACCCCTGGTCTAAAGGCTTGGCTGAGCTTACTCTCCTTAATTGTCCCTGTATGTGAAAATATCTGTAAAAATATCGACAGACCCCCTTCACATCCTGGACATAAATTGTTTCAACTTCTACCCTCAAAACAATGCTATAGGGCAAGGGTCTTCAAACTTGGCAAATTTTAAGACTTGTGGACTTCAACTCCCAGAATTCCCGAGCTAACATGACAGGAGGAGGAATTCTGGGAGTTGAAGTCTACAAGTCTTAAAGCTGTCAAGTTTAAAGACCCCTGCTATAGGGTATTGCATGCAGAACAACTAGACACAAGGAGTTTTCCCCGCATGCCATCACTCTGTTAAACAACTAATTCCCACAACACTGTCAAACTATTTACTAAGATTGTATTACTATTATTCTTCTCATCATTCCTATTACCTATCTCCTTTTCTACTTATGACTATAACTTTGTTGCTTGTATCTTTACAATTTTTATTGTTTTCTTTAGTTTCCTGGTACGATTTATGTTGATTCGATCACTAAGTGTTGTATCTTATGATTTATGATGAATGTATGTTTATGATGACTATGATCATGGTTTATCACTCATAGCTTTTATGTACAATGAGAGCTTATGCACCAAAGACAAATTTGTTGGATGTCCAATCACACTTGGTCTGTTCTACTCTGTTCTGTTCCACTTTTAAGAAGGTGCTCTCCAGCTTGTAACTTTCCAATGTCGGCACATTTTCATGAATTCTGTCTCCCAATTTGCTGCTTTCGTTCTTGGTTTCTCATTCCAGTTTTCTGACTCTGCTGGCTATGTGGGTTTTGCCAATCTCCCCAACCAAGTCCACCGGAAGTCGGTCAAGAAAGGGTTTGAATTCACCCTCATGGTTGTCGGTAGGTGGATTTATTTTTTTCCATATCATGCACGTTTTGAAAATAAAACTCTGGCAGTTTAAACTATCGAATGCAGGTAGTCCTTAACTTACAACAGTCCATTCAGTGACTGTTTCAAAGTTACAACGTGACTTGTGGTTGTTTTTCACACTTACAACCATTGGGCATCCCCATGGTCACACGGTCAACATTCAGACGCGGTCACCTTGACCCCCATCATGGATGAATGGCTGCAAAAACTGATGGAGTTAGCAGAGATGGCTAAATTGACTGTTTTGCTTAAAGAAAAAAAAATACAAATGCTTTTATTTCGACTTGGAAACCACTTCTGGACTTTGTGCTTGAGGTGGAAAAAAAATGCAACTTTGATTTTGGATTTTACCAATTAGATAGATTTGTTATTATAAAAATGGCTAGTTTATACTATTGTGATGACCCGGGGCATGGCACAAAGGCAACACAGTCAGATAATCAATAGGAGCCCCTTTATTGTCTCCAACTTTGCCCCCAATGTCCAGATTACCTTCTGGGCTAGAGAAAAATTCTTAAAGGGAACAGCCTTTGGCTGCAGAAAATTCAGTCCAAAACAGGGTAAACACAAACTGTCACTTTAAGTCCAATCAAGCCAAACTGAAGTAATTAGTTTGGCAGGGCAGGAGCAAGAATTTCAGACTTGAAGGCATGGCAAAACTCACATGGTTGGGAAGATGCCAGGAACACGGATAAGTCACGACAACACAAGATAAAGTCACATTTGCTCCCAGCAGCCTGCCGCACACAGCCTGCCTTTCTTATACACTGTGTTCCCAGCTTTGGCTAAGGAAGGGAATCAGGGCCCTTTCCTCCCCCATAAGCTACGCAACTCACGTTGCTCCCTTCTCTGTTCCTCCCTGCGTACCCTAGGATGAGGAGGAGGTCTTCCTCTGAACTCCCTCTCCCTTGTTCTACCTTTCTCCTGCTCTGCCCAGCTGGACTTAGCTCAACTGTTCTGTACTAAAGCTGGTTTCTGCTGTGAAACTGAAACTAAAACTCCTCTGCTTGTGTTTTGCATTTGGAACAGGTTTCTTTTCAGGTGGGGAGGGGGAGTAGAACTCCTTAGCATCAGAGCATGTTAATAATAATACTATACGAAATACTAATAGCTCTGATGGTCATTTCGAAAAACCCTTTCTTAGTGAGCCCCTAGAAGCCAAGTGGAACATACGTGCCAAATGTCAAGTTTGTAGGCTTGACGGTTGTGGAGATTTTGTGATGATGTGTCAGTGGTAATTCTGGGTCAGAGGAAAAGATGGTGTTGTTCTCTTCTGTTTGGGCTGTTCTCCAGCAAGCTTATTCTCAACAGCTTCTGCTTTTCAGATAGCGCAAAAAGCTTATTATAAATATGGCTGTATCTGAGTCAATTTGACAAGAATGTGCAGAGGAGACGTTCAGCTTCTGTGCCAAAGAGGGACCTGCTGCTTTTGCACATTCCTTCCTGTTTTAGAGAAATGACTCAAATCTTTTGAGTCAAAAGAAGCGCGTCGAAACGGCAATGTGACAAAAAGAAGCCACGGAGTTCACAGTCCAGTTTTGGCACAGGATTTAGGAAGGAGTGGGTTTAGAAAAGGGATTTCAGTGGTACATCACAGTGACATCACTCTTCCTCAGGTTCCAGCTACTTTAGGCTGCCATATATATTTTTTCCCCCATGATGCTTTGAAAGGATAAGCGGCATTACGTGATTGAAATCATTGTGGCGCAAGGAAGTCCTTGATTTACAACAGTTCATTTAGCGACCAAAGCTACAACAGCGTTGGGGGGAAAAAAAGTGACTCATGGACGTTTTTCATACTTAACAACCGTTGTGATATCTCCCACGGTCCCATGATCAAAATTCAGATGCTTGGCACCTGACTCAGACTTACGACGGTTGCAGCGTCCCGGGGTTACGTGACAAGCAATTTCTGATAAGCAAAAGTCAACGAGGAATCCAGATTCGCTTAAACTTCCACTTTCTTGCTGTGGCAAGAAAGGTCGCTAAATGGGGCAAAACATATTTCACAAATGCCTCGCTTAGCAGTGGAAATTTTGGGCTCAATTGTGGTCGTAAATTGAAGACTACCTGTATTTCCTAGAAATCGGTTGACCAGGTTTAAAATTTGAACAAGGAATGCTAGGCACAGACCTGCTTTTCTAGGTTATTTTTAAAAGACTTTTATAAGACCTTTTGATAATGCTGTCTTGTAAAACAAGGGGGGGGGGGAGGAAATTTGATGATTTGACAAATCTGCCGTTTAACGTGGAAGGGTAGAAAGATTATCCCAGGGATTACATATTCCTCTTCTTTACAGGAGAATCCGGTTTGGGCAAATCCACTTTAATTAATAGTTTGTTCCTGACGGATTTGTATCCTGAACGCTACATCCCTGGAGCTGGAGGTAATTTGTGTGTTTTTTGTTTGTTTGTTTGTTTTTCTTTTCTAATTCGGCGTTTCTCAATCTCAGCAATTTTTAAGATGTCTCGACTTCATTTCCCAGAAGTATGTGGATGGAAAATTCTGGGAATTGAAGGCCTCACTTCTTAAAATTGCCAAGATTGAGAAACACAATTTTAATAGAATAGAGTAGAGTAGAATAGAAATGGAACAGAGAATAGGATAGAGAATAGAAAATAGAACAGAACATAGAATACGAATAGAGTAGAGTAGAGTAAAATAGAGAATAAAGAATAAAGAATGGAATAGAATGAGGAGGAGAAAAAGGAGAAGGAAAGATGGAAGAAGAATAGAATAAAGAATAGAAAATAGAAAAGAAGATAGAAAAGAAATAGAGTTAGAATAGAATAGAATAGAACAGAACAGAACAGAACAGAACAGAACAGAACAGAATAGAATAGAATAGAATAGAATAGAACATAATAGAGTTAGAATAGAATAGAATAGAATAGAATAGAATAGAATAGAATAGAACAGAACAGAACAGAACAGAACAGAACAGAACAGAATAGAATAGAATAGAATAGAATAGAATAGAATAGAATAGAATAGAACAGAACAGAACAGAATAGAATAGAATAGAAAAAATAAAGAAGAGAAGAGAAGGAGAAGGAGGAAAAGGAAAGATGGAAGAAGAATAGAATAAAGAATAAAAAATAGAACAGAAGATAGAAAAGAAATAGGAATAGAATAGAATAGAATAGAATAGAATAGAATAGAATAGAATAGA